TCTGAGAAAGGAGATATGTACATGTCTCAAAGTACTTCCCCACAGAATACTAAATAATTGGAAAATGGAAAGTTAACATTCCAGGTGAGAAACCTGGCAGATACTACCTCTGGTGGCCAACATTACTATCCCAGTGTTGGGACAAATCAGAATTGTAGGTCACATGATAGGATGCAATGAAAAGAGTAGGTTGTAGTGATACTCTTGCTAAAAATCTATGACCTGAATTTTACCGTAAGGAAACCTAAGAAAAATCCACATTGAAAGACATTCCACATTACTGGAATTTAGTTGTCAAAAGTTAAAAGTCATGAAAGTCAAGGAAAGACAAAGGAACTGTTCTAGAGTGAAAGAGACTAAGACACACAACTGAATTCAATACATGGCTCTGAACATGACCTTCCTTGGTATTACGTATACTACAGATAAGTGACCAAACTTAAAAAGAATTATGAGGAATAAATGATAGAATTATACTGAACCCTTGAAGAAAAGAGTTTTAATGGGTGCTCTGACTACACAAAGATTTTTTTCAATACTGGAAATGTATTTTCTTTTATAATTTTCTTCATGGTATTTTTTTCTGTAGCTTACTTTATTTTAGGAATATAGTACGATACATATCATATACAAAAAGATCATTGGTAGTAGCAGTGGTTAAGTCTTTGGGGGTCAAAAGTTGTTCATGGCTTTTTGACTGTGGGGGGCAGGAGTCAGAGCCTTTAACCCCATTGTTCAAGTGACAAGTGTATTAGAGTTAATGTTCTGATTGTGAAGGTTGTATGGTAGTTATGTGGAATGTACTGACTTGTAGGATTTAAATGCTACAGGAATCAGGCATCCCATTAACAATTTACTTGCAAATGGCTCTGGGGCGGGGGGGGGGGGAGTTCTTTTTTTGTTTATTTTTTTCTTTTCTCTAAATTTGTTTCCAAAAAGCAAATAAAAAATAACTAACTAAATAAATAAATAGAAAAGGTGAAAAGCCTTAGGCAAATCTTATTTCTCCATGTGGAAAGAGCTATGAATCAGTGTTGATTTTAAAATTATAAATAGGTTTTATGGCACTATAAAAAATTGTAATATGTACAAACATTGGCAATAGCCATAGCAGGAATACATCAAACTAACATCTAAATCTTTAGGCCCACATATAGTGATAAAAATTGGAAAATACAAAAAAGCCATCCATGGACACTACTGAAGTATTAATGACAACTTTGGGTGCTGTTCAAACAGCAGGGAATGGAACAGTTTGATGTATGTCAAACACTCTAGTGGTGGTTTCCACGTACAAAATGTGCTTAAAAGTTAATGAGATGCCAAGAAACATAGTTTAAAATATACAGATTTTCATTACACACATATGACAC